GACAGACAGACAGACAGACAGACAGACAGACAGACAGACAGACAGACAGACAGACAGACAGACAGACAGACAGACAGAGATATAATTGTTGAAATTTTCATTCAACCTTTATTTAAACAGGTTAATCCCATTGAGCATCGGGGACTCATTTACAAGAGGGAACTGATTTTAACAATTTATAAAAAATGTGTTTCACTTTGTCCTTGAAGAGGTTTTTTATTTTTGTCAAAATGCTAATTTATACTGACCATGAATGATTTACAGTGAAAAGGTAAACATGTGAATACATTAGATACTCTAAAATATAGATATTTACAGACACTGTATGTTGCCATGTCCCTTCAGGACCCTCTTTCTGATTTGAGCCTCAAAGCAGCTCTTCAAAACTGCCTTGAGGTTCTTATTTCAAAATGCACGGCTTCATAGCTCTCAGAAACATGTTAGTCTCAACACATGAGCGATCGCCAGCAAGAAGAACAAAACACAACAGCTTGTCTGGAAGGAGAAAAGAATAAAGTACCAAAGTCTAACCAATCAATTTATACTTTTTCCTTTTTAAATTATGGTGCTAGATTCATGAAAACTTAAAGTGTTCAAAAACAAAAGTGCTTTTAATCCATCAAACCACTCACAAGAAAATGTTTCTCTCAAAAATGTTGAATTATTTTTGAAGATTTCACTTGAACAGTGTCAGATTTTAGAAGCTGTTCTTACAGACCTGCACCAGTTACACTGTTCAAACTAGGAGCTCTGGCTCCATGTCTGAAACAGATCCTGTCATGATGGAGGCAGCTGTGGCAGCGATGAGGTCAGCATTATGTGTTGATGTTAAACGACAACATAACAAGTGATGAAGAGGAAGAGGAAGGGGAGGAGCCATGGACCCAGAGCTGAGACAAGGCTGAGTGATTCTGAGGTTTTAAGACAAAATCTATTTTGATTCAGTTATTTCTCTTGTTTCTGTGGCCACATGTGACATCAGCTGGGACTGTCCACACAGAGCATCAGCCATCCTCTCTTTGCCTCAGTGTCCTGCACAAATCACTGTTTTCACGTTTCTCCTCTTTAGACGACGACAAACGTTTGCTGCTCTGTATGAACAGAACGAGCAGTTGTTTACCTCGCAGCAAGAAAACTTCTGCAGGACACCTTCAGATCTGAGTTTGTTACAGCTTGTAAAAGAAGATGCCCGTGTGAACACAGCTGATCGTTTGCAGCATGAACTGGGAGCGACTTCAGGTCGCAGCTTTCAGACAGAGCGTCCTCCAGGAGGACCAGATGGTTCTAATGCATTAATGTTGAAAAGGGCTGTAAATTAAATTAAACTGTTTTCTTGTTCTTATGTTTGAAATCACCGTTTCCCTCAGGTTGTAGTGTTATTCATGTGAAAACATGAAATCGATCACCAGTTCATAGAAGCCACATGTGGCCCTCAGAGCTCTGCAGAGGGTGGATTCAGGCTGAGGAGCATCTTACCTGTGGTACTCCTAGCTTTTTGCAGGCGTCCAGGAAGTTCTCCACATTTCTCCGACACTTGGCCATACTGAGTTTGGGCTGGAAGCATAAGCAACAATGAATTTATAAAAACGATAATTACTGTAGGTTTTTGTTTTGCGTCTTTTGAAGAGTCAAACGTCCTGACCACTGCAGGCGAGGGGACGTGGATGCTGGCCACAGAGCGAGGACGAACGTGGTTGGCAAGATGACAGAGCACGACTCCGTCCATCAGAAACGAACCGAGGTCTTCAGGAAGGACAACTTTGAGCCTGCTCTCTATGATCTGATCAAACAGGCCGACAGAAATATAAAGACAGGAGTTTGACGGGTCACAGCGAGGAACATCTTTGAGATAAGTCTGCTCGAATATGTAACAATGTTATTCATATTCTGATCATTGCAACCAAAGTTATTGAATGTTGCATCATTACACTTGAAAGTTGCTATTTTCTTTTGATACTTTCCTGTTTTAACTTTTTCATCTGACAGAGTATTTAATTAAATATTGGCTTCTGGTTAACGTAAAAACACAAGCAGAAATTAACAGTGTAGTGCAGGGCTATTCAACTGGCGGCTCAGGAGCCAAATTAGGCCCACAGGTGAGCTCAGTTCGGCCCACCAATGGGTTCGTTTTAAAATAAAACTATAGACGTTAAACTGTAAAACAAACTTACTTAATGACAATAACTGCTGGATGTCTGGCCCCTGAGCTCTTGGCTTTCAGTAACTCTGGCCCACTGAGCAATTTACAATATTTTTCAGACTGTAAGGCACACTTAAAATCCTTTAATTTTCTCAAAAATCGACAGTGAGCCCAATAATCCAGTTATGTATTAATTCTGTTTGTGATTACTGACCTCGAACCAATTTTGTGGTACATGGCTCTTACAAATCTGACAAAATGAACTTGTTTCGCTTAATGCACCTTATAGTCTGAAAAATACGGTAATCTGTTATCTGCTGACTGAAGCCTCCAGAAGTTTCTGCTCTCACACTGAGATGGTAGTAGAGTCATCTGAGAGCTGCTCACCTCTCTCAGCTGCTCCATGAGCTCCAGCTCCTCTTTCAGCTGCTCCATCTTACGTCTCATGGTGAACTGAGGATCCACAGACTCCAGACTCTTGTGGCTACGCAGGAACACTGCAGCAGAAACAAGAAAAACAACAACACACTGAAACACGTACAGGAACAGGAAGTTCATGTCAGGGCCAAAGCTACAGATGTCTCTCAGTGGACAGAGCTCTGAGGAGGAGAAAGGTCAAACAGAAATGCTCTGAGGACTAACAGACGCTGATATTAAGTCATTACATTTAGTTCTGATACCTTCAACTCTCTGAAAGAGAAATGAAAACATTAACGACTCCTCAGAAACCCCAACAGACCATTACAAATGTTGATGGGGTCATTTATACTTTTTACATCCAATATTATCCAAGAAAGCTCATCAGAGACTCTACTTCCTCAGACGGCTGAGGCGAGCTGGTCTGGGAAGCTCAGTCCTCACCTCCTTCTACAGGTGTGC